CTTTCACCGTAACGCTCGTTTAAATTATTTTGCCAGTTTTGAGTCGTAAATTTTAGGAAGACTTTAATTGTTATTTTAACTGCAAGCTCAACTTAGTCTACGCGCGGGGGCTATGAAAATATGTCTTAATTCGCTCACCCTATGACTTATGTTTCGTTGAAATTAAACTGTTGCGCTTCTTTGTAATCTTATACTAAATAAATTATCACTCTTGCCTAAAAACTTTTCACGTTGTCCAATTAGAGAATTGTAATTGTTTTTTTGCCCGGTTCACCGTTTCGTATCTTCATTTTTTATTTTGCGAGTATATTCCCACGACCAATTCTCTGAAGAGTCGTCATATCAAATTTAAATAACAGGGAACACTCGATCTCTTTGGACAACTCTCCAAGGGCGTCACAGTCGAAATTTAAATATTATTGTTGTTTTTACTGAGTGCACGAAATTGAAGAGAAATAGAATTTTCTCCGTTGCCTACCCTTCGTGAGGGCCGAATCATATTTGACTTCTAAATAAAAAAAACGTAATAGGAAAATAGCGATTCAGAGACATTTTAGATTCGCATTTTAGATACTATATTTTCATGTTGTTCATAATATTAGCTAATTACTATAAGTTATTAAATTGCGTAACCAAAATCGATCCTTTTGTTAATGGTTTCGATCCTTTCAATCATCTATCGGCCATTGAGCTGCGGTATCATAATAATTGTCCATAATTATATATTCCCTTGAACCGGCGCATCGTTTTTATTGTTATTTTATTTATAAAGTAATAATTTTTTCGTCGGACGCAACTCGATCAGGTTTTGAATTTGATTGATCCGATATAAAGATCGATTTAATAATAATCGCCTGTTCCGCTTCAATGTTTTGGTTTTCTCTTGTTTTTGTCGATAAACGTTCTCATTGGATCGATTTTATTTTCTGTCTACTTATTGACTGGTTCCCCAAGATTTATGGTTCTCTAATATTGATTGGACTCTTAATAATATTACGGACATAATATCGTGGAATATAATTAGAATAATGCTTTGATATAAAGATTCGGTATTTCTCATCATGTAATAAACATCAATTACACATTTGTTAAACTAAACGAAAATAAAATAAATATATATTTTACAAATTTAAAAATATATGTTAATATCCACCAAGTAGAAACCATATGTTTATATTTGTGTAATGAACATAAACAATACATGATTCTTAGATCGTTACTAAGTACGCAGAGACCACCGGGAGCATCTTTTGTTAAGGCGCCTCTACTCGCAAATCGAGAGATGTTGAGATACGCCGCATACCGACGCGGGCCCTTAATGGCCATCCCTCGGCAGAGGTAATTTACGTCTCATGTGCGAAACCACTCCTTAACTAAAAGCCTTCTAAATTACAGTATACATCGGGATTGATTCGAAATTAATCTCGCAACCAACGCTCTAAGATTGACTCTTTTTGTTACAAAAATATTGTAATGAAATTCTGATTTTAAACTTAATACCCATCTGAGAAACTAATCAATATAATTATAACACATTATCGTGTTTATGATAGTAATAATATTGTTGCAGAACAATGATCTTCTAAGCGCATTAGGACTTGCTGAGTGTGTACTCAAGTGCACACTAAACAATTTTTATCGAGTAATATATTGAACAACTTTGTTACTCACTAAAATTAGTCGTAATTTCTAAATAGGTATAACATAACTTACGATTGCAACAGAATTACCAAAAATCTAAGGGCAAACGCTTATTTAGACTTCCTTTTTATATGATGAAATGTATAATATAATACATTTCATTTTCTCTACATTACATATATTGTTATTATTGTATACTAAAACATAAACTCTATATCTATAATAAATATATCGATATAACTATATATAAAATCTAATAATACTACATCATTAAAACAAATGTATGGTATTACTACAAACAAGCATAGTATGGTTCGTTTCGATGAAATACGATTGGAAACAACAAAGGGTGAGGCAGTCAACGTTTCAATTTACAAGATCTCCATTGGAGATATCTCTTGTACGATATTCATACCTTTATTCCGGAGCCTTATTATAAGCACGCGGGGAACAAGTTAACTTGTGCTTATCGCTAAGATTTTCGTATGTCGATATGGAACATGGCCAGCTACCAAGCTACTTCTTTCAGTCTCGTATCGTTATAGATTCATCTCAAATTACATTGACGCCTTCAGATGCAATGCTAATTGGTTTCTGTCTGAGCCCTCAAATGTTTTGTACGCTCTTTATTATATTTCTTTATCTAATATCAACGTCAATCAAGTAATACCTCGTAACGCACTAAGTTTAATTGTGTCACTCAATGTCTTTATTTGTAATTATTTTATTTAAACAAGTCAAACATGTTTTCACATTATCTTTTCATAATTCCACTAACGGTTTCAACATTGTATGAAGTATATATACATTGTTTATGCAATATGTAGATAAATTAGATAAATTCATTAGGTACGTAGTAATTAATAAAATTATTAATTAAAGAAATACGAAAGTAATACACAGTTTATCATTCATTTAATTACATAATTAATAATATTAATAATAACGCTAGACTTTTTATACAACGCCATCTAGTTCCAAACTAAGCAGAGTTTGTATTATAGGTCTTGTATAGCTAGACAAGTGATACCAATGCTTAATTTTTTTTTTCATATGTATTGACGGCCTCGTATATATAGTAAACATCTAGACAAACAATTATACTCATGAATACAAATGTCGATTTAACCGCTTTAATTTAGTAATCTTTTATTTATTAATTTTATTTCTTCTTATATTTATATAGACCCAGATTTACAAAGATATTCTGTTAAAAATTGTGTTTATGAATAATTTCATTTAAATTATTTCAGTTGTCGTTACGGGAAAGCAAAACACACAAATAAACAGACGATATTCTCCTCGTCACGGTTTTACCATTTTATTATATGTAAAGAATATATTATATGTTGAATATACTTTATTCTATTAATGAATTAAATAACGCGTCAACTTGTTTATTCTAGACTATTCATTGTGTACTACTACTATTTATACTACTAATAGTATGAATGTGTAGGTGTATTCCATGTTAATAGATTGTTACCGTATATTGAACCTGTTGGAAGTAATTAAATCGCTAACGGAATTAAACGGAACAATTCTCGTTGTCTTGAACAAGGTTGTTGCGGGGCTGGCAATGTTATGAGGACTAGGTGGTCTGGATATTATAATAGGTATTGATTATAACATCGGGAATAGAATTACTCTGACCTTAGCTTTAAACAAATCAAAGGATTAGATATTACAGTCCATAAAATGGTTAATGTTATACGAGGCCTGGCCAAATGTTAAGTTAATTTGAATTTAAAACGCCTAACAACAATATAAAGAAACAAACTAATAAGCGCACAGACAATATGTCTGTGGAGAAAAAAAAATATCGTAGATAACGTTATTAAACAATTGTACGTTTATCTTTATGTCTTCACTTGATAATTAAGGCGAGTACTAACTTATTAAGTAGCTGAATTGTTTATTATAATAATATATTAATACTATGTGTACTTGGATGACAACAACTCATAAAAATAATTTAGTTCATTTTTTTTTATTCTCAGACTGCATAGGCGAATATATTTATTTTCAAATAAATCTATTATATTGCAATAGCAAGACAAAACAAATTGAGAGACTTTCTGTCATTAGAGTACTTGAATTTTACTACACTTTTGACTGCAGGATACATATATTCACACACATAGATTTCAACGTACAGCGTGAATGGCTAAATCTAACAATTTTGTGTAAATGAAACCAATTAAACTACTAGTAATGTATAAAAATTGCTATAACAAGTCGACGTAATAAATTATAATAATGTAAGGAATTTCTAAATTTACGCATTCTTACACAGTATCTACTATACATATACCAAAACAATGTAAGTAAATTTATTCATTCCTAAAGAACGCTTCACTGCCAGTAACCGTAGGTGCTAACAACGCAAGTTAATCAGCTTGATCCCCTTACGACATCCATTAGATAGACGCGACTTAGGTACCTAATTGAATAAGGGTCCAAATTAAACGGGCATAACCTCTTTCTATTCAAATTTGACTGCGGCCTGATGCCTTTGCCCATACATACGTCCTCATTGGTACTTTGGAATTCGGTAACTAAGATTAAGACTTGATTGAAAATAAGGGTTTACCTTGTTTATGTGTTGACTAAACAAGCTCACGAGATTATATCTTAAATAAGATTAAATTTAGGATTATATTGCTATCCATCCATGAACGTAATAAGTAATATACAAAATATAAAGAACTGGATGTAATTGTTATAAGAATTCAATAAAAAAGAGCTAATGAACGTTTGCGTAAGAGTGGATCCGTTAAATCGCCTGTGGTTGAGTTGTTGCGTGTTTGTCAGACAACCAGACAGTCTAGTTTTCATTATTCGTGTCATAGACTGTTTACTGTATTTTCTCGCCAATTACTCGATTATTTCACGCTCTTTTATTTTCCGATCGGCCAGGAATGAATGAATGAATAAATGAGAATACTAATGTGTAATATTAATAAATATCTATACATTTATATTTATATTATATTGTGAATTGATATTCTTGATTACATTTACCGAAATCGGAAGTAGCTCCCTCAATTATTTCCGTCAGTTTACATTTAATTGAAAGTTATGCAAATCTCTCAATTCGACTCCTTCACAATAGTACCGGGATTCCGAATGAGTTAATCCGTGTTTATATTCCTAATCGGCCCCTTGCTGACGGTCTTGTTACCGGTTTTAGCTCACAGTTAAATTTATACAATACCTTTTGTGTACTACAAAACATTCATTTAACTTAAAATGTTATTTATGTATACATTTACCCTCATTGGAATAGTTATTGATATTTATGATACCAATAAATAGTAATAACATTTAATTAATGAAACAATTTGTTTTTGTTTTAGCCGAACTAAAGATGGATGTACTGAGAGAGCGAGAGGTGAAAGACAACTTGGAGAGACAACTACTTGACGAACAGAAAATGAGAGGTAAGCAAAATATACATAATGTTAATTATAAAATGATGTCTACTTAAATTAATTAATTCTTGACTTAAGCTGCTTTTATAATTGTAAGCTTGACTTACGTGAGTTAAATATTATTGGATTGCGATAAAAGTTTCTAAATATATTGTAAGTTGATTAAGGAAGGCTACTTGCTTGACTCCGCATACATAAAATTCTGCTAAATAATAAGGATAACTAATGTCAGATAATCATACCAAGTCTTGTTTTCAAATCAGAGTGCTAATCTTGAGCATAGATCAAATTACAATAAATTTGTTTAAAAATTAGCAACCGAAAATCGAATCTGACCTCTCATCTATAGGTAAGAAAACAGTTTTGTTACTACAAACTTACTAAAAAGGTAACAGCATGACAAAAGCAATAAAAGTTTAATAACCTATGCTTATTATAATTTACCATAGTAATATACAATACAAGGAAGCGATAATCTTACTATATAGAATACAATAATGTAACTATACTATTCTCAGTAACTCACGTTTTTCAAATTACCCGATATTGGATTTAACAACAACAATCGGAGTGCCAAGAAAAGAACAAATAGGGTGTTATTTCAATGCCTTCATAAATCTCCGATCATTGGCTCTCAGTCCGCATTCACCACAATTAACAGGATATCTTGTTACGGGACCATTGTCTTCTTCTTCGTCCGGTTATTTATTTGCTACATTAAAACTATTATATTCTCATATTACGCCATTCTGGTACCTTATGTTGCCAATTTCCTTTTCATGCCACCGACTCATCGTCGCCTTCAGTAATTGTGTACCTCAATGCGTTGTTGGCGCTGAATTATAACCATTTTATGTGTATATTCACACGTTAGTACCTCCAGTTTGTTCTTACTGTTAATGGTATCTATCTATTTGTTTCTCCACTTTCCCAAGCTTGTTGCTCGCGTGATCTAACGTTTTCTTCAATTTATAGGTTCATTGATAGTTTTATGAGTTGCTTTTGACGTCTATGTAATCACCATAATTATGCTATTTATTTAAGACAATTTTACTGCGCTCCAGTGGAGCCCATAGTATACGTCTTTGTTGTATTCATATTGTCATAGCTAATGCTAGTATTAAGCTATTATAAACACTGCAGTGTTGCATATCAGAACGATAATAACATTACGTTTACAGTATATTAATTTAATGAATGCTGTCACGGAAATGAAATAGTTCAATAATAAAACACCTGACTCACGCCCTTGCAATTGTAAAGGTTAATTCGCATCGCACCTAATACAATAACACCCTTTCTTTAGGAATACGACATTGTGTCAGCAAGTGAAAAGAAACCGACAGAATGGAGGTAACCTTTATACAAATGTCAACCGACATCGCAACGGTGAAGTAATAACGCCTTGAGACAAAGGGTTTAATTCTATTGAAAATATTAATGGTGGGCTAATTTCAACTCTAAATATGAAACAATAACGTTGAATTATGTTTGCTTATTATCTAGAATTTTCATGTCACAGATGATATAAAGGCACTGTAGATATTTATTTATCGAGGTTAATACGGGTATTTATCTTGTGTTAATGTAATGTTAGATAATAAAGGGACGACAAATCGCAGGAAGGTTGTCGCTATTTATATTGAAAATAATTGTTACTACTAAAACACGTGTTATAATAACACAAGCAACATTGAAGTAGCGATTTAAGTTGAACATAAAACTATAGTTCTAGAGCACGGTAAGTGAATTATAGCCGGTCCGTTTTATAACACCAATGCGACCATAGATAATGGATTTTCTAGACTATTTGGTATCCGATACATTTTAAAAGCTTTCTGACAAGTTATCAGTGCTACCAATTTAACCACCTTTTTAGTCTCTCAACTTTCGCATTAAGCTATTATTTTTCTATAATAGCTGCTAATAATTTCTTAGCAGGAAATTAATAACTAGAGGATTTAACTCTAAAATTTTATCATAGACAAATTTTAAATTTTATAGAAAAGTATATCCGAATATCTATAGGTAGAAGTAAATTTGAGACATATCATAATCCTTACTTTGTGTTCATGTTATACATAAAAAAATGCATTAAAAGAAATATTTGTTTTTTATCTAATAGGTATATTGTAATAATAGGCTGTAAATTTAGCAACATTTTATTTTATTTTTTAATCCCTTTTAAGTAAATGATTTTCATTAATATTAATGATTGTAACAGATATTAGGTGAATAATAAATGTTATATTAGAGCACCTACCATTAATCTTTGCTATAAATGTTTGCTGTCGCTAGATGGGTTTGCGGTATGCGGTAACAAAGAGGGAAATGGAAGTTCCATACATATTTCACACGGTGAATGAACCCGATTGCGTTGTGAGCAATACTGGTAATTGCCAAAAACCAATCATCAGATAGCGTTGCATGCGTCCACACTGTGAAATACACCTTTAGTTACAAAGCCCTAGTGCTGCTACCAACAAATATATTATCAGACAAAAATCGAAGTGTCAAAATATTTATCTAGGCAGAACACTTGCAATAAATTACAAGAGACTATAGAGAGAGGCTAAAGGAAAAGACAATATAAATAAATGTACTCGTTTACTAATATATCTTCACGGTTGTTATTTCGGATGGCGTACAAAGATATTGTCAACTGTACTGACTTCGTGGACGCAATAATATCCACAATTCGCTGAAGATATTTAGATCGAATATGGTGAAGGATGCCTACGGCATATCTCGGATTAGATTTGGCTTCTTACCAACAACTGACATACATAGTTTTATTGTGCCTGCCAGAATTGAACTCACAAGATTTTGAAGTCTATATCTCTATTGGGATCGTTGTGTAGTTGTGGCCCACACAACCACACAACGATCCCAATAGAGATAATAATACTAGATATATTACGTATACGGATTAATTCCACCTGTCCCTATAAATTAAGCCTATTCTCTAATAATATAATATCTTCTTATACTGACTTCATTGAAAGCCATTAAAATTCAGCAATAAAATAAAATTCAGTAACAGCAATAGTGGACTGAAAAATACCGCCTTCGACCAAAATGACAGTATTAAGTAAAAATAAATAATTAACTTATGGAGATTACTATGTTTTGGTATATAAAATTACTTCTTTGCCATTTCAAATCTTAAAAAAAAAATCTCGAAATTATACTTTACCGTGTAATACATGAAACTGTCTTAATACAAGCGCAAATATAAAGTGAATAGCATTGGTAGGTATTAAATGTAAGAACAGACAAATGCAATTTATGTATATCGTGATAGTAAACGCTAATATGACTCATTGTGATTTTGTTTTTCATTCAGAAGTTTTCCTGACAATAATAATGTTAAAGCGTAACAAGCGTAAAACAACTTCTAGTGTAGCTGCATACTTGTGCATTTCATGCACTTGAGCGAAGCCTGTACGAATCGCTAGTTATCAGTAAGCTTATCAATTAAAATAGGCTCCATATTGGGCCTGCCATCAATCAGGGAAGGCGCTCCGCCATGGAAATTGGAGTATTCTCGGACTTAATCAACGTTCACGTAGCAGCATTCATAATAGTTGTATTGAATAGTACGGTATCGTATCATCAAGCTCTCATGTAATGTAATGAGTACAAACTCTACTCTATATAAACTGTAATTAACGTGCAATTAATGTTCAACGAGAAGATTGTTCGCTTAGGTTTTACTACACAGTAGTTTTCGTTATTTTTTTGTTTCCTTTTCCATGATGCGTTTATTGGAAACTTTTTCGATTAATCTTTCCAACAGTTACTTCACACTATACAATTTAGATTAATATTTTTACTAGAACTAATTAAAAATGGATGAGGTCAACATATCTAGCAGTTTAACACCTCAACAACAATCGCTTTAATTTTCACATACTACAAACATTTGTAGTCACAAATAGAAAGGTTAATGTAGGTTTGGTTGTCTCTTCTATTCATTATGATTATGTATTTTTAAAATGTATATATTTATGTTTTGTTATCAACACTACTCAATAATTTGTATTCATAATTCAGAAAAGTCTTGATGTACTTTAAGTAAATAGTTTCGCTATTAATTAGTTACATTAAGGAAAAAAAATGTATGACTGCTTTTGTTATTGCTAATGTCTATATAAAGGAAAGGGAAATCATCTAAGGCCTACAGATATTATAAAATATAATAGCATCATTCATTATTTAGTAACTAAATTTAAGGGATGATTTTGAAAAAAGTATCTTTTGAGTGTCCAGTCAGTTCTTCTTAACTAAGGTAACCCTATGATTATAATTGAGAAGAACTGCCAAACAAGATTATATGGATAGTCATAAAAAAGGAATGAAAAAAATACCTGTATATAAGAAAATTTAATGAATTTGTCATCCTGTTTGTCATTAGCAATAACAGGTATAAGAAACAGGCCTCCAATTTTGTCCATTTGGCAATAAATTCAAGTTTAATTGAGTTTCCAAACTAGATATTTAGTTATGAATTATTCCGAGCGAGACCGCCCTCACATCTTACACTTCCTATCTGGCATTCGTTAGATATTGAAGGTATAATTCTCATTGTACTCAAGATTGCGTAATTAAATAACATGTAGGCCGTAACATTACGGGCGTCTTGAAAGGGTTCGCAATGGGAATGTTACGCCAATTATGCGAACATTATGTTCGGAATGGAGGGTTATCGATGCCTGTTTTGATGTACCTTTGTATGGAGAATGTAATTTATATTTATACATATTTCTATACATGTAATTAAGGGTTACACTAATGTAATTCAGTCCCGTACATATATACGCATTGTAATTACATTTACACTTATTAATTATTCAACTACACAATATACACGTATTATTTCTTTTTATGTTATTCCATACTTTGACAGTGACGACAGGCAATTAATTTTTTACGATAATTATATTTATTGGAGTGATATTTTCAGTCTCATCAGGTAATTTAACGCTTAACAATTTTTATTAATGAGA